GATTTTATTTCTTTTCTTTTTTTTTTCTTTTTTTAACCAAACGAAATTTTAATTATTTCTCAATAAAATAATATATTAGGAACTGGTTGCTGTCGTTCATCTGATCCCTCACAATTCATCCATGAGAAATATTACAGGAGATATCATGATTACTCAATCTATGCCAAATGGACCAGTTAAATTAAGCGGTCAAGTGAACGGTTTGACGGAAGGACTTCATGGTTTTCATGTTCATGAAAAAGGAAATATACAGGAAGGGTGTTTATCGACTGGTGCTCATTTTAATCCTGAAAATGTGAGTAATATTTTGAAAAGTGTCGAGTATTCAATATCAATAATCTCTTTAACGCTGCAAACTTTATTATTTAAATCGTGTTAAAGATATCTTCGATTAGATTTAAAAGAGAAAGAATATTTATACTTCTTAATAAGTTTCATATAAAATGAATGACTATGAATCCTTTTTTATATTTTTAATTTTAACAAACTTATAAAAGAACGTTAAATGAATATATCATACAATTTGTGTAAGATTCGATAATCAACGTAACTAAATATAGCTTTAACACAAGAATATTATACATACGAATATATATACTATATCTATACAAATACCTATATATATATATATATGTATTTATATATATATATGTATATGCACATATAGAACGTTCATGGTGCTCCGGAGAACGCAGTTAGACATGTTGGTGACTTGGGTAATATCAGAGCCGATGCCAATGGAGAAGCAGTCATCGATATCACCGACACGGTTATCTCTCTCACTGGACCTAATAGTATTGTGGGTCGTGCTATCGTAATACACTCTAATGAAGATGATTTGGGTAAAGGCAACAGCACTTTATCCCTTTCGACAGGAAACGCGGGAGATCGTTGGGCCTGTGGAATTATTGGAATTCAGTAGGTTATATTTTCCTATATATATATATGTATCTATATATGTAAAAGTCTTTTGATTTCGTTTTTACAGCTTACACCAGTGTAATTTTACGAAAACGTATACGAATACGTAATAGAAATATATAAAATATATATAATCCTAATCGATAGGATTCTTTTAAAAAATTTTATTATGTAAATTACAGCTAAAATTGTGGCGTTCATCGATTGAGAATGGCGAAAGGACAACTTCCAATGGAGGAATGAGATATCGGCACGCTAGTAGAATAGCTTCGAGATTAGTAATGCGTCTTAATTAGGATATTTCGATTCTTTTTGGTTCGTTCATTCCTAATACATAAGTCGATATTTTTTATTTGTCTCTATATACTCAACGTAAATTCTCAATAAATTTTGTTTTGATATTAATCGTTTAACGTAGATTACGAAGAAAAGGAGATATCTAAGGTAACACGAGCGATGAATAATCCGAAACTTATGATATTATTTTGTATTAAGTTGGTCTTTTAAAGTGTTATCTTTATCATAAATAGTTTAGTGTGTTGTTTACCTTTTATATGTAAATTGGTAATACGTATAAAAATATCTGTTGTTTTCTCTTGCTTCATATATCCTCTCGTCCTATTTCCCATGATGCTTATGTGTCCGATGTCATTTTTCTTAGATGTGAATTATTAAACCAGCGCTATAAAATAAGAATACATTTAATCTTGTGTATACATTATCGAAATTTATATGTACATATATGTGTATTAAGTTTCTGGTGTTTTTTTTTGTTCGCTTTAGTTTTCCCCCATGTATATATATATATATATATGTATATATATATATATATATATATATACATACATACATATATATATATATATACGTATGTATATATGCATGTACAAATTTATGTCTTCTATTCCTGCATATTATTTCATCATTACAAATTATAACGAAATAGCAAGAATATCGAATAACAGAGTACCTATATATTCGTACACATATGTTTTCATTCATTTTATCGAAAAATGATTTAATTATCATATTTTTGCTTGAACCTTAAATATATAAGGTATCCCATATAAAACGATATAACGAAATTGTTACATATAAAAATTGGAGGAGATTACCAATTAATAGTTAATTTGAAAGTTTTCTCAATGATCTAATAGATCGAACTGTCATTTATATTTTTATAAATATTTAATTATATTTAATTAATTAAATTTAATTAATTTTAAATTTAATTCAATTTTACAAATATTAAATGATATTTAAATGAAAAAAATTGTACGATAATTATTTTTGAGAAAATAATTATATTTATATTAATAATTATATTTGAGAAAATAATATAATGTTATTGGGTATCAATTCATCGTTTCGAATCTGATATATCTTCAAGGAAACTTTCAAATTATAACGAACGCAGAATTCATTGACTTTTGGTATACACAGAATAATGATTATTATGTTGAAAATGAAGAAATATAGTATCCTGTATAAAAATATATGGATGAGATTAAAAATTTTCCAAACGATCTCAGCTACAAAAGAGAGAAAAAAAAAAGAAAAGAAATGAAAAAGAAACAAATATACCACATGATATTAATCTTTTAACAATCTTTAACTTTTATCCTTAATATTTCGATGGATCGTTTTAAATTGGACACCTTGTATAGACGTACACCTAACCCATAATTGTGTGTCATTATTATTTTATTTATAATAAATTATTATTTCCACATGATAGATTGACTTCATTTCTTTATTATATTCCAAGCGAATGTATTATATATCGTATGGATTGATTTGAGAATTTTTCTTAGAAAATAAGAATACGTTGTAAATATGTCGGTATAAGTCTACATTTAAAGGAAACATGATTATCGATCCCTTTTGCGCTTTTGCTTTCAGGTCACCGAAAGGAAGTTGGTCGGGTTCCAATCCTTTTACATCACCGAGTATGTTCATCATTGCAACGACTCTTATGATCGTTACTTTCCATCACTTGAAGTATTAACCATCATAAAAAATCAACAAGTTTCTGCCATCTATAAAAATGTAACGTATCCATTTCACGATTTATTATATCTGAAAGTTCACATCGAATAGGAATGAAGGAATATTGATGGATAAAATCTAAGAACAACGGTGATATTAAACTTATATATTAGATTTATACTGTCAATTTCTTCATATCTGAAAGCATGGAAGTCAATATTGATTTTAGATCATTGAAAGATCTTTCAACCTTGGATACATTCTCTCGTACATGTATGTTATAATTAAACATATATGAAGATTTTAAATAAATTTATTTAATTATCGTACGAATTATGTCAAAAGAGAAATACAGACGTAACAAAGGTACAGACGTAATAAATGATGTTACTCATATGTATTTATGTACTTATCATATCTGAATATATGTATGTATAAAGAAGTTTATCGCACTTATCTTTATTTCGTTCGTAAAACGTTTTTAATTGCTTTAATTATTTGCTCTAGTCGATACCTTAGTCAGTAGATTGCTTTTCGTTTGACGAACGAATATATAATATCGCAGAAAGAGTAAATCGATTTACTCATTTTATTTCATGTATATGCATACATATACACTTGTGTATATCTATATGTATTATTTAAGTAAATAACGGTAAAATTTATTCTGTATTATGTTATTTGTATAATACGACGTTTTGTCATAATAAATTTTTTTCCCTGGTGTAATACTTTTGATATTTTTATTTTAAAAAATTATTTATATCATCTTATTTCTTCACTCGAATTTTGACAATACCTACGTAAATTAGACATGTAAAAATCGATTAATTCGAGTTCCTACATTTATCGTACTACCATTAACCTACTTACATTTACGTACATCTTATTCTCGAATTATTATGTTATATTTATTTGTATATTCTTGTTTTATTTATAAAAACGATACGACGAATATTTTGTGAGTATAAAAATACAATATCTTTTGTTTGTTATTTGTATCATATAATTTGATAACTTATAGATAAACTTTGATTTTATTTTGTAAATGTTTCATCGATTTCAGACAAATTTTCTTTATCTTTTTTTCTTTTCGATAATTCAAATTCATATTTCATTTCGAATACCTCTTTTAAATAAATATCGTTCGTTAATTGTATATTTTGTTTTTCAAATAGTCTTCTAAAAAAAGAAAAAAAAGAAAAGAATTATAAGCAAAGAATTGATCAATGTTATAAAGTTTGTTACAATTTTTTTTTTTTTAATATAAAAATAATATTTTGTGAATATAAAAATGTAAAAATGAGATTTTGTTATAAAGTTTAAATCTGTTAGTATTATATTTCCAAAAGGTTTTCTTAGATTTAAAATGTTTCTTTAAGCATTTTATTCGTTAAAACGAAAGATTATTACGAAAGAAAGAAAATGAATGATCTAAATGCTTTCAAAGTTCGTCGGACTAGAAAAGTAACGATCGAACGAGGCTATGTGCTTTGAGGAAGCGTCACGCGATCGACGTAGGTAACGAGGGCAAAAACAGAACACGAGTTAAGACATAATAATAATAATAATAAAAAAACACATAAAAAATAAAAAAGAAATAAATAATTAGATAATAGATGTAGTTTTGGAAAAAAGTATTATTTCTCAATGTATTCTCCTGTGTGATTGTGGTAAATAAAAAGGATTTTGTTATCGGTTAGTTAGTCATTGAAATAATCGCGTGAACGAAAATACTATAACAGGATAAAGGAAAGTAATTGGAAGGGAAACTGGGTCGTTGAACTTGGTTTATGAAATTGGGTAAATTGTTGATCGATCTCACTCGTTGATAACGAATAAACTTTAAACAGTAGAAATTGAAAATTACTATGGATTACTAAGTAATAAGTGATTTTTTTATTTCTTGATTGAAACGTTTTTGGTTTAATTGTAGATATTTTAGCTTTTTTTGGTCTAATTTTTTTTTTTGCAAACCGTTAATAAATACCAACAAGGTCTATCCGATTAAAAATTGTTGCTTTATAGTATTATATGTTTGAGTTGCTTAATGAAGTCGAAAAAATAATGCAACTTTATGAACGATCTTTTAGAAACATTAAAATAAAAGAAAAAGAAAAAGAGAAAGAAAGAAGAATCCATAAAATTTTTTATAAATTTGGGACATATTAAGATTGGGCTAATATGACCTTGTAATATGATAAATACGAACAACGAACTTTTTCCTTACTTAGCAAATATCATCATCGTTGTCGTCGTTGTTGTATCTATAGTTACCAAGGAAAAACATAGAATGAATGCACGTCGACGAATCAACGACCAATAAAGAGCCGGTCCCATTTCTATGCGTTCTCCAGTAGGTCCTTGAGCACCATGGACTAGGACCAATGAGGATCCTTGTTAGTGGCGCGCTACTTTCTTTCGAAGCTTCTCGAGGATTTCGATCGAACTAGTTCAGAGCTTTTACTCCTCAGAATGTAAATCGCTTTACTGTGCACCGGTTGCTTCGCACAGGACGCGGGATTATGACGCGTCGCTCGTAAAAAAAAAAAAAAAGAAACCACTGATTATATATTTCCGTCAACTTCCTTTCTACATTTTTAGTAATAAGATTATTATTATATAGAATCAGATATTATAATAAATTTATTATTATAACAAAAATAATATCATGGAGTCCTGCGGTATGAGCCTGATTAAATATATCCTCTTCGTCTTCAATTTGATCTTCGCTGTAAGTTTGTTAACAATGATACATTTTATTCAACTTTTTTTTCTCTTGTTTATTTTACTTTCCTTCTTTTTTATTACTTTATGATATATATATATATATATATATATATATATATATATATATATATCTTGTTCGTAATAATCGAAAAAAAATTTCCTTTAGATTTCTGGTATTGGGATCATCGTAGCGGGAGCTCTCGTTCTCGGAGATGTCGGCGAGTTTAGCCATTTTATCGAAGGAAGGATAATGGCACCTCCCATCGTCCTCATAGTCGCTGGTGTTATTGTTTTTATTATTGCCTTCCTCGGTTGTTATGGTGCAATTAAAGAGCACTATAGCATGCTGATCGCTGTAAGAATTTGTGTATATAATAATGCGATTTTTTATTTTTTACAGAAACATATATCTATGTATACTTTTATATCATTTTTAATCTTTAATTTTCTACACATGTACATACATATATATATATGTATGAACAAAAATAATTTACCATATTCTCTGAATGAATTATTTACATTATTCATCGGTAAATTATGATTAACTGTTAGATCTTTGATTTTATCTTTTTTTGCTAGTTCGCAGGTGCACTCTTGATCATTTTTGTGATCGAACTTGCGGTTGGAATTGCAGCGGCAGTTTTCAAAAATGATTTCAGTATGGCGATGAAGGATACGTTAAAGGAATCGATGAAGAATTATACTGACGCAGACAAATTTGCCTGGGATAATGTGCAGAGCAAGGTCGGTAGACCGAATCTAGAACACGACAAGCCTATGATGGTTTCGTCGATAGAGAAACTTTAAGCGCGGTAAAATCGATATCATTTTTAATTCCAAATGAAAACAATGCAAACTCCTTGCACATACATATATCTTGTTTATATTATTCAATTTCGATATTGGAACGAAGTGGACGAAGCTTTTGACATTTTTTTTCTTTTATTACGACTGATTTTCTAAAATGTTTTTTAATGTTCAGTTTTATAAAAAATTTTTTAATACAGACATTGCATGCTCTCGATGGGTGATATCAAATGAATCAAATGAATCAAATGAAATTTCTTTTGAATAAAGTGAAAAATGAGTTTTAATTTTTTTTCTCCGAATATATCATAATAATTTTTGTTTTTATTTCAACGTGGAGCATATATTCTTTCCTTTTCTTTCTCCTTTTTTATTTTTATTTTTGAAAGTATTATAATATTTTAGTAACGTATTTTATAGAATAATGCTTGGTATAATCTTAATGGTTGGTGATTAAGGAGACAAGGAAATGATCACGATCAAACAAGGTCCCTCTTCGTATATCCGAAAATTTTTATATCTGATTTATCTCATGTTCTCTTCGAGATCACGTATATAATATAAAAACCACTGTATCACAGTTGATGTGCTGCGGAGTAGATGGACCAAATGATTGGATTATGAACAATGCCTTCATTGCGACTTTGCCACCTTCTTGCTGCATGAAAATGCAAAATCCTTGTGGAATTGGAAGTCTTGATGTTAACAAGGAAGGTTGCTTCGAAAAATTGAAAATGCGTGTTCAAAAAGGAGCTACTATATTGATCGGTGTAGGAATCGGAATTGCTTTTGTAGAGGTTAGTACGATCGATAATAATTATTATCAATGTGTATATATCGAAAATTATTTAATAGATTTATTAACAAGAATTAATTTATTTATTTTTTGTTTCAGGTCGCTGGCATAATACTTGCTTGTTGCCTAGCTATGGCCATAAAAAGAGAGACTGCTAAATGAAACGAGGTCGTTTAATTTTTCATACGAATTTTCTTTTTTACATTATTTATGTTCAATTTATTCGATTTACATCTGATTACATCAGCTGGTCTTCATAAGGATAACATAGGAATAAGAATTAAGACAGAATCGCTTCCTCGTATAAAAAAATAATTCATAATGAAAAGTATACTTAATCGATTGATCAATATTTGTTATGGGTAAAAGTAAAAATGATAACAAATATTTCTTGCATTTTGTTGTATTTTTGTAACGTGTTTGTGAAAATATATAGGGTGATTCTTAAATGTATATCAATACTTCAGGGTTTAAATTTAATATAAGATATATAGGACATATGTTCATATAACTTTTTTTTACTTATATCAGTATGTAGATTTAATTCCTAAAGCATTGACATTCATTTATGAATCACCCTTTATATACATGCACTTATTACAACGAATACATTTAGATTAACTTGTGTGAACGTGTATGCTAGATGTTTTAGTAGTTAATACATAAATGTCACGTACTGTTATTGGAAAAAAACTCACATCGACCGATAGGTCTTTTAATGTCTTTTTAATAAAAGCACCTATTTAATGTATACCTATTTAAGGTATATATATATATAATATATATATATATATATATATATATATATATAATATATATATATATAATATATATATATATAATATATATATATATATATAATATATATATATATATATATATAATATATATAATAACAGTAACGTTAATAATTCTTTATTATTACAATAGTAACATCCTTATAATACTAATTAATAAAGTTATATATTAATTTTGAAACATAATTAATAAAATTTATGAATATAAAGGATAGATTGTTTTTTTACAGGTTTTAATAACGATGATTAATATTTAAATCAATTAAAATTAATTAAAGTTGTTTTAGACATTAGTGTATTTAAATGTTTGGTTCAGGCATGGATAAATAAGGGTATATCGGTTCCATATTTTGATTAGTTAGGTGAGCGGAATTGTGAACGTTAGAACTATTGTTTTGAATTGTATTGTTTCCTCTTTGGACTATATTGTTGTCCAACGTAGATACTGTTTGTTGCTTATTCGCATGTATCGGTACTCTTGGTAATATACTAAATTCCATGTTCTTCTTTTGTTTTGTTTTCTGCAGATTGGCATAATAGAAATATCCCGTAAATAATATAATTATCTGAAATATAATAAATATAATTTTCACTAATTGAAACTTGATTAATGCGTATAGAAAAATGTCTACATTTCAACAGATTGTCTTTGTATATAGTTTATGTATGTACTCACGAAAAAAACATCTAATGTTACAATAATTTCAATTGATTCTTCATAAGCTTCCTGTAATATTTTAATAATAACGTCGAAGCAACCAATTTTAAATAATGTTGGCTCATTATCATTACAAATAGTCCCATTATTACAACAGGATCCTGGAATAACTTTGTATAAATCATTCCATTCGTAGTTATAATGAATTCCGCAACAAGAAAGCTATAAAACAATAAAATTCTTTTAATGTTCTAAATATTCTATAAAAAAAATTGTATATAAATTTAAATTATTACGATTATATAGAGTTAATTATTTTTTAATAAAAAAAAAAATTCCTCCCCGGCGGGGAATCGAACCCCGGTCTCCCGCGTGACAGGCGGGGATACTAACCACTATACTACCGAGGACCTTGATACATAATTATTTATATTTATAATATATATTTATTTATTTGATCTTTATTTATAAACAAATAATTTATTATTTACATTTATTTTTATATTTACCAATATTTCTTTGGGATAATCTTTGGGATATTCTCGAAGAAAAAGATATCAAGATTTGATTAATTATTCTTATATAAATATATGGAAATCTTATTATAATAAGAGTTGTTTTATTATATTAAGATAGAAAATCGATGAATAAATAACCGATGAGAAATCCAAAAATTATTTATAATTTTCATAACCTATTTATCGATGGAGTACAATTACCGATGGAAAACAGTTACCGACGACGATAACAAGATTATTCTCAGTTAAAAGTGTAATCTATTTTGTCTATGTTTTTTCTTTTTATTTTTTTTTCATTTAGAATTGAAAAGTATCTTGTTTAAAGACTTGTAAAGATTAAAATAGAAATTTTATCTTTAAGATGTGTGAAAAAAACTTGATAAAGTTTTAATTTATAGTTATAAATTTGAATACAATAAGATTCGACTATAAGCATTTAAAATCTACATAACATTATATAAATTTACATACACATGATCGATGATTATAATTAATTTCTAAATGGAAGTGAACAATTAATTAAGATCCTATACATTAAGCACGGCGCGTATTTAACGGATATAGAACATATATATTAATTTATGTAATTGATATTTAATAACTTACACTTTTTTGCATTATATGCAGTGGCAAATTATCTGGATTATTTTGCATTATATTGTTCAACAGATAATAAAGGCTTGATGCAGAGATAAAATTTTGTACTCTAAAAATTATTACGTAAATGTTGATAATAAGGAATATTATTAACATTATTCCCATACTCTGAAAAAAAAGCAAAAAAAGAAAGAACAAATAAACTCATTTGATCTTGTATTTGTATGAATCGTTTTTAATATATATGCATAATATCATAAGTTTCTTTATTAAATTATAATGTATCTTACCGTTAATAGACCTCTTTGTGAATATACAAAGGCTGAAATTAATCCAAGAGTAGCACTTGCTATTGTCACAATTGAAAACGAAAATAAAATGGTATTATCAGTTCTAAGAAATGGTTCCAGTAAAATCAAATCCCATAATGTGTGTAATTTTATTTCTAAAGATAGATATAATAATGCCAGTGCTACAAGCTGAAAAAATAACGAAAACAATATTTTATTAACATGCACACTTTTTTTTTTATTTATGAAAAAGGATTGCATTTTAAGTTGTTATTACTTACTATTGCAGCAAAGGTGATTGTTAAGTAACAACTAAGAATTAATGTACTTAACCATGGATGTTTCTTACGAGAGAGTAACAACAAAACTGGATCGTTGGCCCACATTTTTATTTACTTTCTTCTTAAACAAAAACAATTTACATTGTAATCCTATTTTTAAATTTATAGAGTACTCATTTATTGAGTTCTATCGTTAACGAGTGTTTTCGTAGTAATAACTCAGACAATCGTTGTTATTATCAATGGTTGTTATTATCGTCCTCTTATATGTGTTTCTTAGAAAAATGTTACACGTCAAAGATATATCTAAACTTTTTTTTCTTTGCCGAAGAAAAATTTCACTTTCTCGCTACTTTTTCTGTAGAAAGGATTGTATTCAAAGCGATTGATGATTTTCGCATAAGTAATATAAAAAAAGGCAACACAGGCGTAAATACATTTTAATTATTTTTGATTTGTTTCAAGAATAAAATGTACGATAGAAAATCAATAATAAGATTACGATAATTAAATGATAAGACAATAATACTAGATGGCATGCTTGTCGACTTAAATGATAGATAAATTTATATAACGTACTAGAAACTTAAAAATGTATTTCCTTTATCTATATTCTTTTTAACGTCTCGTTATTGATTGTCATCAATAATATATATACACCGATAAATATATATTTCTAGTGTTCTATATACTCGTATGAGTATCGGTGCATCACAGTAACTATTTCGTCATTAATTACTTATATCGTAAATAATAACAATTTTATCAATAATATGTCTTTTGTATATAAATGACAATGATTGTACTTAGTCCAATTTGTGTAGCCCATACGATACACCATTGATCCTTTTCTTTCACGTATGAAACAAAATCGAACTTTATCGAGATTTATCGAATGTTATACTTATAGGTGATCATATTTTTATGAATTGTTCAGTGAGACAAATTTTTCTCTCGCAAATGAATCCTAGAGCAAAACTCGTAGAAATATAATGGAAAAAAGTTATAATTAAGCGAACATTTACAAGCAAAATTGATAGACAGTATTGTCGAATTGGAAATGCAACGAGCCGAGATGCTTACTGAAATTAAAGGAGAAACAAAGAAAAAAAGGCAACAATGTAAAAAAAGAAGGATATTAGGATCCTTTTTTTAATTCAATCGAAATTTAATGAGTTAATAAAAATATCAACATTGTTAAAAATACTTAAATTCAAAGAGAAAATCTTTAAACATATTAAGATTGAGGAAATGCTTTCTAAAAGATTAAAGGTACGAAAATGGAATTATTACTACACGAAAATCAAAAGGGGGAATTACAAGAAGAGAAAAAAATATTATAACAAACAGAATTCGAAAAATTATATCAAATAATGAGTAATTCTGTAGATTAATAGAAGAAAAGTTGAGATAAGATAAGCAATATCAAGATTAAAACTTGAATTATATGAAACTACAATAATATAAAGATTCAAGCATTGGTAAATTTATTTTTGATAATGAATTAGAAATAAATAAAAATTTTCTTCTATAATTGTTTAAAAAAATAAAATAATTGATAAAGATTACATTAAAAATAAAATCGTGTTCTGAGGTTCTTACTGCGATGAAGCTTGCTGCTTCTGGACATGAATAGGTTAACGATGACTATTTCTTTATATAAAAAATAATAATAATTTCCTTGAATTATTTAACCTTTTGGGTCTAATAATATCTATTGAATAAAATATTTCTTGCAGATTTAGATGTTTGTAATGTAGGAACGTCATCTTTATCTCTTCAAATTGATTATATCCTTATTCGTGGCTAACAGATCGAAAATACATAACTATTGCTTTCATCTTGGAAACAAATATCTTAATTTTTCATTCGTGTTGCACAATGGAATAACCATTGTCGTTATTCATTGTATTCTTTATCTTCTTTCTTTGTGACATCATATTTTTTTTGTTTTTATTAATTATTTATTTCTATTAATAATAAAGTCGCCAAATGTAGTGTTTCATAGGCCTATTTACATGAGAATAGACGGACAAAAATCTAAACTTGGTCAATGACAATAACTTTATTAATAATATATAAAGTGTGTTATCGATCTGGATACTATAATCAAAAAGTGGTTGAATCTATATATATAGGAAAAATAAATCGTAAATGTAAAGTGACGTTTTTCCATACACAGGTTTCATTTACAAATAAATCGATATTGAAGATAGGTTGAGTACGCTTACACTTGGCCATCCTATAAATTTTATTTCTGTTGTTTTTTTTCTTTTTTTTTTTATTCATGAACATCACCGCCAATGTCATAGCTTGTTATCGTTTTCGATTTGGGCTATTAGTTTTTGTCATTCTGTCGACATGGCTATATACAGTAATCGAGAGCACACCAACATGATCCTCGCATTAGGTGAGTACGCCGGTAACGCATTTATGGCTACTATGTACTATGTAGATCGTTATCCAAATCGCCGATATTTTAATAGAAGAGTTATCCAAAGAGTTGAGCGAATACTTGTTAAACAAGTGATCTCTTGAAATCCTTCGTTGACATGGCGATTATATTACAGGTAAAATAAACGACAAATTTTTACAGAAGGTATAAAAACAAAAAAAACAAAAAAAGAAAGAAATATCCTAGAATTAATATGAGAGAATTTA